CACCTGCTGCGCAGCCTGCAGCAGCTCCATGCGCTCCCGCAGAATCTGTGCGTCGCGCTCGCGCAGCTCGCTCATGACCTGGCGCTTCCACTGCTCCACCGCCACCCTGAGCTGCTCGCGCTCCTCCTCGGACAGCAACTGCGCCACCTTGGCCCCCGCCTCCTGCTGCACCGCGTCGAACAGCATGGCTTCCAGCTCCAGGATGCGCTGCGGACAGCCAGCCCAGCTCGTGGCAGCTCCGTCACCCCCCCAGAGTCGCCCGTCCAGCCCAGCGGGCCCGCGACGCCGGAGCCATCTCCTTCCCCAGGCTCAGGAGGCCGCGGGGACAGCCCAGAGCAGGGGCCTAAGGGAGGTGTGGGCACGGCTGCACGGCTGCCAGGCCCCGGGGAGGGCAGCTGAGCCCGCGAGGGCCATCTGGGGCGACCGCAGGGCCAGTTGGTGGCCACATTCTCCCCACCAAGGTGGCCGGTGATGCGAGCCCCACAGAGTGTAGTCAAACGCCAGGGCAGGGGCAGCGGGGCGTTGGGACAAGGGCCAGGAGGCAGCGGGCTCTGCGCGGGGACACGAGAGTTGGCCGTGCACAGACGGCGCGGTGGACCGAGCGAGGCCAGCCGAGACAGGCGGCCTGTCCGCGGGGCCCAGCGTCCCCTGCCCGAGCGCAGCCCATGCCCTCCCTGTCCGGGCCTGGGTGGGCCCCTGGCCCTGAGAGCCCGAAGCCACGAGGTTGGCAGCCCCGGAGCTCCTGCCTGGGGGTGGGCTTGGGGTCCTGATGGGACCCATGGAAAGGCCGGGGGCCCACAGGGCCCGCGAGGAGGTGGGGAGAAGGGGCCAGGATGGCCAGGCACGTGGGAGCCAGCCCTGCGCCCAAGTGGGGCTGAGCTTGGGCTGACTGGGCACTGGCTCTGTGGGGCGAGGCGTCCAGTGGGAGACACAGGGGTGCTGGCCTCTGCAGCGAGAGCCGTGGGGCCCAGTGATGCCGTGGTCGGCACGGCTCCCTCCTGCCCGAGGAGCAGCCCATCACGCTTAAGCAGACGCAGTCTGTCTTCTTGCGTCTAAGGACAAGGACGGACGTCCCTGAGTGGACAGGACGTCCAGCAGCAGGCACTGACCAAGCAAGCTGGCCGGTGCTGCACCTCTGGTGCGGCAGGGCCACCGGCACTGGGCGAGGTGTCCGCTCCTGGGGTGGCCATCCCGTTCTCCCCGCACCTGGTTCAGCACAGGGCATGGACCCCACGCCACACGGTGACAGTGGGACGCCAGCTCCCCTGGTTCCCGGGGACACTGTCCCGGCGCCCAGCGCTCCTGACGGTCAGCCAGGTCCGGGACTGCGGGGCCTCACCAAGGGCAAAGCCTGGTCTGTGGGTCACACTGGGGACCAGCGTCTGCTGCAGACCACGGGCAGATGGCAGGGAGGGTCGGGGAGGGGCCGGGGTGTGGGGGTGACGTGCCTCCACCGAGGAGCAACAGAGGCCCCAGCAGTGGCCCCTGGCCCCCACCACAACCCACCCCTACGCACTTGCCCACCGTGGGCGGGGCCATGTGGCGACAGTGTGGCCCTCCAGGCCCTTCCTGCACCCTGCCAGCGCTGCCCCCTGCACAGGTCACAGGCAGCCCAGTGCCCACAGGCTCAGGGCCAGTAAGGTGGGGAGACCCTGTCTGGCTCCCAGGAGAAGCCGCCCTGCGCCCAGGGGAGCCCGCCAGCTCCAGCAACTGTGGCAGCCAGCAGTGCCAGGACACCGGGAGGCCGCTAGGCTGTGTGCACACCGAGCCCGCGGCCCTCCCCGCCGCGCGAGCCCAGAGGCCATTCCGAAGCAGTCCTGGCACCACCCGGAATGGGGACACCCCTTCAGGGGCACTCGCCCCTCGCTGGGCGAGCCCCTGCGTCACAGAGCACAGGGCAGCTGGGCGGGCGCCTGGTCTCCACAAGCCCTGCCTTCCTCTCCGGACCTGGCCGCAGCGCCGTTCAGTGCGGTCAGGGCAGCTTGCTGCCCAGAGCGGCCTCTGGCTGAGGCCACCGGACCCGACATACCCCGGACTGCCCTCCCTGCTCCAGCGGCCACGGCCCCTCACCTTGTGAGCCTGGTCCAGCGAGTGCTTCCGGAAGTCCAGCTCCTCGTCCAGGTAGCCCTTCTGCTGGCTGAACAGCTCCTGAGACACAGGACGCCAGCGTCCGGCCTCGGGCGCCCACGGGGAGCCCCGCCCACGGCGAGCCCCGCCCACGGCGAGCCCCGCCCACGGCGAGCCCCGCCCACGGAGAGCCCCGCCCACGGAGAGCCCCGCCCACGGCGAGCCCCGCCCACGGAGAGCCCCGCCCCACCTTCTCGCTCTCGAGGTCCACCATCTTTCGCTGCAGTGCCGCCTCGGTCTCTTCGATCTGCTGGAGCCACTGGACACAAACAGACCAGGTGCCCTGGCCCTCAGCTGCCACGCGGACACGTGTGCCCGCCCGTGGTGGGGCGGGGTGGAGGGTGGGAGGAGGGAGGCCTCGGCCCGACGGGGGTCAGCGGGGCTGCGTCCAGAGGCCTCGTGCCCAGCCCGCGGCCGGTGTCCAGGAAGCGGGACCCTCACTTGGGCCAGGAGGCCCAAGCTGGGGGGGGAGGGGGCGCCTGAGCAGGAGGGGCGTGGAGCGTGCTCTGATGGTGACCCTGAGCCCCAGTTCCCGGGAAGGCCCTGCCAGGTTGCCGGTCATGGGCCGACAGCTGGCTGGGGCAGGGGCAGCGGCGGCTCGGGTGGGTGTGGTGGACACTGGCACGTGGGACAGAGCGCAACGCCCCCTGGACTCAGGACGCCAAGGCCGTCGACGGGGTCAGTCACTTGTGAGCGCCACAGGTGTGTCTGAACCGAGCTCGCGCCAGACCGCCAAGATGGGGTGGACGGAACCGGCCCCGGGCCCACGCCCCCTGCTCTCAGCCCAGCCGGGGGAGCCGGAGCACCAGGTACGTCTGGTACCTTCTCAGCCAAGGTCAGGACCGTCCGGGCTTGTATGATGACCACCTGCTCCTCGTTGGTCAGATTCTGCAACCAAGGCAGGGCACCCCGCGTCCGGCGGAGTCCGGGCAGCAGGTGGGGGGGGGTGCTGAAGGGCGCGGGGCTGTGGGGATGGGAGGCTGGGGGAGGGGCTGAGGGGGCCCCGGGCGTGGGGCTCCCTGTGCCTGACCACGTGTGCTGTGGCCCAGCTGCCAGGGTGTGGGCAGCTGCACACCGCGGCCCCAGCTGTGGGGGAGAGCAGGGGCGGGGCGGGCAGGGGGTGCGGGGCGTGCACGAGCCAGGAGAGCCACCTACACTTACGGCGTTATCCCCCAGGATGTCCAGCTTCTTCATCAGCTCGGAGACCAGGATGTCCT